CGTGGTGAAGAGGGAGCTGAGTGTAAAAGCGAAGCTCTCAATTTACCGGTCGATCTACGTCCCTACCCTCACCTATGGCCACGAGCTGTGGGTAGTGACCGAAAGAACGAGATCGCGGATACAAGCGGCGGAAATGAGCTTCCTCTGAATGGTGGCTGGCCTCTCCCTTAGATACAGGGTGAGAAGTCTGGCCATCCGGGAGGGGCTCAGAGTAGAGCTGCTGCTCCTCCACATCGAAAGGAGCCAGCTGAGGTGATTCGGGCATCTGACAAGGATGCCTCCTGGGTGCCTCCTGGGGTTGGTGTTCCGGGCATGTTCCGCCGGGAGGAGGCCCCCCGGGGCAGACCCAGGACACGCTGGAGAGATTATATCTCTCAGCTGGCCTGGGAACACTTTGGTGTTCCCACGGATAAGCTGGAGGAGGTGGCTGGGGAGAGGGAGGTCTGGGCTTCTCTGCTTAGGCTGCTGCCCCCGCGACCCGGCCCGGGATAAAGCGGATGAAGATGGATGGATGGACATTTTACATTTTATGTATAATGTAAATTAAAACAGAATGCAAGGATTCACAAGTGTCATAAAGCCATATTTTATCCACAATACTCTTCCATCAAAAATGTTAGCTCATTTTGACAGGAGTGAGACAACTCAAAAAGTTGGGATGGAGGCAACTATTGTCTGGAAATTTAAGTGATACTAAAAAGAAACAGCTGGAGGAACATTGTGCGACTATTAGCTTAATTGGCAACAGATTAGTAACATGACTGGGTATGAAACGAGCATCTTAGAGAGTTAAGCACAAGTTCACAAATCTGCAAAATCTGCATTTATAAATTGTGAAATGGATTTATTCAGATAAGACGTTTTACAATTCAAGTCATAAAGAAAGTCAGTAAATGGTCAGTAAAAATCACAAAGAATATAGATTATAAATGAAACCATGCAAAACATGGCAAATATTAAGGGAAAATGACTAAATTCTACAAAGTATGGGAAGAGGTGTGTACAATCTGGCATAGAGAAAGTAATAGTCTACTATGGAAAGAATTTGACTTTAAACTAAAAATGTGGTATTTAAATACACCTCTCATAATCTCATCATATGTGAAAGAAATTAAAGTGGAACTGTGTTGGAGAAAATGTGGGAAAACCAGACCACTCACATATTTTTTGAGACTGTCCAGTAATCAAAGGACTCTCGAAAAGGGTCAAGAAGAAACCGATCAAATCTTACCCCATTAGACCCACTGATTTTTCTTTTGGGAACTACTGTATACATAGGGAGACATATAGCTCCGACCAAAGGTGCATTAAAAAAATTAAAAACCTGTGAAGACTTTGAATATTTCTACCGTATGTAATATTTTCAAAAGATACCAAGTATTGAAAGAAAACTCTGTGCACATGCCTGGGATGTTCAGGCCCTCACACAATACTGCACGGAAAAACAAGAATGATTCTGTCATGGAAATTACTGCATGGGCTCAGGAGCACTTCCAGAATTCACTGTCTGTGAACACAGTTCACTGTGCCATAAGGAAATCCAGGTTAAAGCTCCATTAGCAAAGAAATGTCCAGTCTTTTCCTGCAAACTATATTTAAAATGAACTGAGGAAAAGTGGAAAACTGTTCTGTGGTCAGACTAATCGAAATTTAATATTCCTTTTGGATCTAGCATCCTCCATACTCAGGAAAGGGACCACCCAGCTTGTTATCAGTGCCTAGTTCAAAAGCCTGGATCTGTGATGATATGAGGATGTATTAATGGCTATGGAATTGGCAGCATGCCAATCCTGAAATACTGGAATTCCATCCAGATGATGCCTTTCTCGGGGAAGGCCTTGCAAATTTCAGCAAGACAATACTAAACCACATAATGCACTATTACAACAATAAGGCTTCATGGTAGAAGAGTCCAGGTGCTGTCCAGACCATGTTGAAAAATTCTGCATATCATGAAACAAAAAATAGGACAAAGAAGATCTAGGACTGTTGAGCAGCCAAAATCCTATAGCAGAGTGGGACAATGGGACAATATTCCTATTTAAAAAGTCTAGCAGCTGATCTCAGTTCCCAGAAGTCTGAACTGAATGGGGAAGCTACACAGTGGTAAATTGCTCTGTCCCAACTCTTTTGAGACATACTGTTGCCATCAAATTTAAAATGAGCTAAAGACCAATGTTAATCTTGTTAATCTGTGACACATCTGCAGAAGTTGGTAAAACTACTTAAACCAGCAGTGTGTTAATTAAACTATCAGAGTGGCAGCTATAGATCCAGTCAGTGTCTGCAAGCAATTCCACCATTAACTGTACTGAAGCAATGCCACTAGAACAAAAATTAGGTTACATTTACCCACCAGTGAATGTTGTCTCATTTTAAAATACATCTTACCATGTTACCTAAAATTTGGCTCCATACTGTAGTGGTTTACTTATATGCCTAACAAGCGAAAGACCTCTGGTTTAAATATGGGAGAAGAAACAAAGGGCTTCCAGTGTAAAAATCTGCCAAATCAAACGTTCACTGTGGCCAACCCACTATGAACAAGGGAGGAGCCGAAAGCAGCTTTTATTATATTACCTAAAAACAGAGAGACAGGAATAGAAAGAAAGCCCATTCAAAGCCCATTGCCCTTAAAGTTAATTGACTCTCACCATCACATCTCCCCACTATGAGTGTTACGGCTTTGCCTCTGATTTATATCAGTCAGCTTTCCTGTCATGATGGAGATTAATGGGTGTGTTCTGACAGGTGCAGAAAGCCCTGTATTAGTCTGTCAGCAGCAGAATCAACAATAAACATGCGTAAAGCAGAGATGAAGATACTACTGCCTGGGGCCTGCGTCACCATAGAGGGCTTAGCAGAACTTCCCAGTGAAGCTATGGCAGTGCCAAGCGAAACAAAGCTACAAATGTTCAACGTGGAGTGTGTGGTTCATTGCAGTTGTGTGAGGGCATTTTCTCACTTGTGCATCAGGGGGCTTGTCTTGTTTACAGTTTGATTGGCAGTTTAATGCATTGCAGGGCGGGGTTGGCGCTGAGGAATATTAACATAATTCCCAGAGTGCCAGAATTGGTATTGGGTGTCGAAGAGCTATTCCAAACTCAGCTGTGACCCACAGTAGCACCGGGTCATCTTACCCATGGGCCAACAAACAGACAGCCAGACAGATGCACACACGCACAGTTGATCAGACTCCGATATTCATCACGTTTAACTCAAACAAATTTAATGCATGCATGAACACACATGTAAATGCACACATGTATGAACATCTGGACATGTAATAAAGCCTAGGTGTGCATAACACATGCTCACATGCTTACACGCACACAAACATGCACACAAACATGCACACACATGCACGTATGCCGGTCCATTTACACTGTGGCGACAGTGAGTCTGTTAACGGGATGCCATAGTACAGAGGGGTGGACAGATTTAGGTCTCCCTCACACCTAGCTGTGCCAGGGGTGGAGGGGGTTGTAGGGTAATGATACCATTAACACTTGCTGTGCCAACAACCCAACCCTCCCCCCACTTCCTCCAGTGCTCCAATGAGCACCTCCCATTGGGTTTCTCTGCTCTCCACGCAGCAACAACAGTTATTCACCTCTCCCAAAATAAAACAACAGCCAATCACAGGGTTGGAAGACAAGAAGTGATCAGTACGGACATAATCCTTGACCGCAGGTGAAAGAAGGACACTGAGAAGAGAAACAAAAGTAGACCTATAAGCCAGAAAAATGAAAAATGGAGAGAGTTTAACTGCAAGAAATGTGGGAGCAGATAAGCAGAAAAAACAAAAACAAAAAAGGGATGGATAGGGACACAGAAGATGGAGGAGGAAGGAGATTGTGTAATGATGTGTTCGGGTGCTGGCTGTTCCGTTCTTACTGTGGCAGCTACCATGGTAACCTCATAAATAGGTGCCCTACATATCAGCAGGGCATAAGGTTACACAGCTCAGTAAATAAACACACATAAACAGCAGAGGAAGCGTGATGAGGAGAAGGATGGTTGGAGCGAGAGAGGAAAAATAAATTAGTAAGAGAAAAATGTCAAATATAGAGGGGAATAAATGACAACAATAATAATTTGATTCCTCTGTGTTGATGATAATGTGCGTTTGTCTGGCATGCATAATTACCTAAATCTACAATTTGCAGTAGAACATCCACATTAGGGACTGGCTGAGGTAACACTGCCTTTTTATCATCATTAACTCCAGCTTACGCGCAGACACAGACAAAAAAATTATCAAGTTCTAGTTCCCTTCTCTTTTCCTCTGTAGCACAACTGCAATTTACCGTTACATTTTCCACAGTAAGAAAAACAAAGTCTACACACATGCATACGCCTGCACACACATACAATTACAGAACAAAACAAGTTCAAAACCAGGAAAAGCCAACAAAGAGCCACTCCGCAACAAGGAGCTATTCTGTTCTGTGATCCAAAGCCTCAACTTTTTTTGATTCAAGCCAAGATAGAGTAACTGTAACAGCATGTTAATTAGAGCTAATTAATACCACCAATTACAGCAGCATCAGTCCGGTTGTGCCACAGCAATGAAATCCTCAGTTTATTTTCAGTCTAATGCTAATCAGCCTGTGTGGTCCCTCTATGTCTATCCCTCAGTCAGGCGCCCTCATACTGCACATAAATGGATCAACAGTAACATTTAAAAGCACAGATGGCACATTTTTATATACATCAATGAACATAAATTAACCCAGAGTTGCACTGCATGTAGCAATCTTTCCAACATGACAAATTCCCAATCAGTGGACTGCACCTGTAATGGCACCGTCTTGGAATAAGTACTTCATATTACTCAAGCCCTTGAAACACCCATTTCTTTATTTCCTAGCAGCAGCTTGAAATGCAATAATAATAAAAAAAAATCTCACAGCACCAATAAACTATTTTCTGAAATGTTCATGTCTTTGATTGTCTGTTAGATTACGCATTTGTGAGTGTGACTTTGGAACACTTACTTTAATGACCTCTGGAGTCTGCTGGATAAGAAGGGTTGAGCCAGCATCTCTCAAAGCAGTATGTTCACCAACAGCAACGGTAGCACTTGCTGTGGTTGGCGTAGCAACAGGAGCTGGAGCTTCAGGTGCGGCCACAGGTATGGTTTCATCGGAAAGCGTAGAGGAATGCAAGTTTGCAGGTGCAGAGGATATCGGGGCAGAGACTGGTTTTGAGTCATCCTCATCTGTAGACGCTTCTGGAATTTTATCCACAGACTCTACTGGAGGGTCAGGTGTAGGTGTAGGCAAAGGTTGGGGAGCACTTTCAGGTGTAGATTTAGGTGCTTGTTCAGCTGAAGCACTGCTTTCAGAATCAGATACTGCAGGTGTTGGGGCAGGTGAAACTTCAGGTGTATTTGCCAAGGTGTGTTTTATCAGTGTATCTGAGATTGCATCTGTATGTACAGTTGGAGCGGTGGGAGCAGCTGGTGGGTTTGTGCTCTCCAGAGGAGTATCAGCCCTGCCAGCGGTGGCCAGTGTATCCTGCAGGAGCCTCATCACCTCCCGCTCCTTTCCACTGTTCCTCTCAGCACTCCCTGTGCTCCCTGCTCCGGAATCCACCAGTTCTTGGGCAAAACTCTCAATGCTCTCAAGGATTCTCAGCAACAATGCCCCATCCTCCTCCTCTCCTGCCACATTTTCACTCCTCTCTTCTTTAGGAGGAGTGAAACTCTGGGGAGTTCTGGAGCTAATGCCGTTCATGGTTAAGTGGCTGTCTGGCTTTGAGACTTGGAACAGAGCCATTTTGGGTTGAGTGAAGGACTCACTGGAGGTGATCCCCTGGCTCCCATCTCTCTTCCTGGTTTTGGCTGGAAGTGGAGGCTCTGTCTTTCTGGGATGAGTCATACTTTGAGAGAGATTCTCCAAGTCCATGAGCAGCTTGTCAATGTCATCATTCCTGTGTGCAGCAGCTTTGGGTGCAGAGACTGTTAGTGACGCAGAGGAAGGCCAATTTGAGCCATAGCCAGAGCTGACTGGCAAATTATTTGAAGAGTTATAGAGCGTGTGTGTTTGGGACAGGTGCATGTGTTGCCCCATCATAGTCCCACTTTTGCTCTGGCTGCTGTTCATCCCTCTAGATGGAGTGTGTGTCTGCTGTGAGATTTGTTCTGGTGTCTTTCCCATATCTGCTTCCTCCTCCTCAATATAAAGAGCCTCCATGGGAGATGCTGGGGGAGTGTGTGTATAAGCTGGGGTCGGGGAGTTACGAAGAGGGGAGGAGGAGTGTGTTGGAGAGGAGCTGGATGAAGAGGATATAATGGTTGGAGGAGAGAGAGTATGTTGTGTATAAGAAGAAGTATGTGGATGTTGGATAACTCCATTAGTAAGTGGGGTAGCTCTAAGCTGGGCTGAGCTCTGAACTGGTTTGGTATGGATGGAATCTGATTTTAGAGATAAAGAAGTAGATGAGACAGAGGATGGAGCAGAAACAGAATGTGGAACAGTCTTTGGGATTGGAGGAGAGAGCACCACATCTTCATAGCGAGGAGGTTGTTCATTGCCAAATATCGGCGAATAAGGTCCCTGCTGGATGGAGTGAAGAGTGTTAACCAGTTCAGCCAAATCACTGTGCCCGCTTCCAGGTGCACCCTGTCCACAGCCTCCAAAACCTCCGATTCCTTCCAGCTCTAGAGGCAATCTCTTAAGATAGGAACTGAGACGAGTCATCACAGCCCGATACACACTGTCAGGGCTTGCTTCCCCATCCTCTGGGCCTCCACCAGCTTTGTGTTTGATGCACTGTTTGATTATGTCAGTGCATTTCTTAAGGTCTTCAGAACATTTAAGCAGAATATCAAGGCAGGCACGTATGTCTTCGCCACCTGCTCCGCCAGTAGCTGCCTCCGCTCGCGTCTTCTCCAGCAGACGGGCAATTAAGTTCTCTTCTCCTAGGGTGTTGCGGTACAGGGAGGCCACTGTGTTCAGACTTTGGTCTAATGACCCAATACTCGTGAGGCTGTTTGTTGAGCCACCAGCAACTTTGGTGATGGACGACATGGTGCCTGGGTTGCCCTTAATCTTCGTTTCCTCTAGCACCGTTCCTTTCCCTTGCACAAATGGTGGCAGGTTCTCATCATTAGAAGAAGCCGTGCCATTTGTCATACCGTTAGTAGTTGCATTTGTGGTAAGGTTGGAGCTGAAGTGGCCATAAATAATCTCCAGGTCGGTGGAGCGACGGCTAAAAGAGTCAGGACGGACTTTACGGCCTTTCCGGAAGGTGATGTGGCTGGAGGATGAGAGGCGGAGCTTATCAAATGAAAACTCCTTGAGTTTACCACTGGCCAGGTTGATGGCTTCTTCGGTAATATCCTTCAGACTGCCAGAGGAGGTCATACTCCCAGTCGATGCTCCACCACCAGAGGTCTTCTTACCACGCCATGTTGGGCTCTCTTCTCCTAAAGATAAATTGCCACTGCTGCCTGCCCTCTCTAGGCTCCCATTATGAGTACTATCCATGGCAAGACAAACTTTAGCATGGTTAGGAAGCTGCTGAGCAATAATGTTGCGGGAGTGTATGGGCGAGCTGTTAAGGTCATTGTATTGAGGGTCAGGTGCAACAAGGAGCTCAGAACAGGTGCCACGGTGTGCAACAGTGCAGTCCAAGCCCTGGGACAGTGCTCCACATGGCCCTGAGCAGTAGTGTACTGCATGGGAGTGAGTGCGTCGGTCTACTACCACACTGTTGTAACAGCTCACGCTGCTCACAACAACACGATAGGCTGCTGCCATGGTGACCAATGATCTTCAGGGAATAGGAAGGTCAAAATTATCGGGAAGAGTAAAACAAAAACAATCTACCAAAATTCCTCCTGAATAAAAATATATTTTTGAAACTGCTTCATGAGAAAAATAATTTATGTCCAAACACTGAATCATCTTCCTGGAAGAAAAAAAAAAAAAAAAAAAAAAAAAGTCTTTCAACTTCTAGGTGCCATTTTTATGCTGTAACAAAAAAGGCTATCAAAATATACAAAGAAATGCCTACAATAATAAATGGCAAAGTCATGCTAGTCAAAGCTTTAAATAGGCAAAGAATTCTCTGTGGGCCTCTTAATAAGAGCTGTAAGGTTTCACCTCTCTCCGCAGGCACCTTCCCCGTTTCCTCTCTAGCAGCAGCTCATTAGCCACTAATGATAGCTGTGGAGAATAGTGACAGCAGAGGATCCAGCTGGGGTATCACCCATCCCTACACAAAATAGCCCAAGGGGCTTAATCCAAGGCCAGCGAGGCTTTAACATTGCCCTAGCCTGGGCTCATCCCCTGGGCAACGTTGGAGAAAAAACTCTTTTTCCTATCAGAGCTCAGGACCATTCGCTGACTCCAACGCAGCTGCAAAATAGCAGGGGACTGACCACAGATGGCCAATGGCCCCTTTCTCTTTATGAGTGTGCGTCTGGGAGATCTCTCTTTCCCGTACTCCCTTACCCCGTCCGTCTTGTTCTGTCAGCAATTTGTTAGGATGAGCATGTGTTTTGGATAGGAGGACACCACCTGTGAGTAAACAAAGAGAAGAGGGGGAAGAGGGAGGAGAAAGGAGTCAGGGTGAGAAAGGGAAAACATGAGAAAAAGTAAATTATTACGACAATAATCAAGAAGTAGACAACTGTGTATTTGAGTGTTTCCATACATGTGCACATATTAGGTGTTTTGTGTGTGCAAGATGCTACAATTTCCAGTTAGTATCCAGCTGTAGCATCTTTGCTTTAAAATAAGGTAATATAATAATTCTTGTCGTGAATTGGCTATATCAGTAAAATCTGAACTGAAGCGCCATTCTAAAATAACGGTGCAGAAAGGTACCAGACATACCCAAGTTAAAAGTAGGGCAGAATGTTAAAGCAGACAGTCGTGACTCCCTGTTTCGTCAGAGAAGATCAACAAAGACTTTACTATGACCCTGCTGAGAAATCACAACTCAGCTAAAGAGAAGCAGGTGTTGTACGGGGGAGAAAACACCTGGCGCTTTCATGTTTCCATTGCTGTTTTTCTCCATTCTTGGGCACAAATTGCATGTTTGTCAAGGAAATAAAGACGCACCACTGCATTTCCAGAGGATATTTACAATTAATAAGGAGTTTAAAATGAAAAAAATAAAACAGGACAGACTGATTTATTTTAGTGAATATAACTGTTTATTTAAACCTTACAGTGAAATATTAAATATGAAATAATAATAAAGGTTGAACTCTTTAAACTAAGATATACATCTTGGTAATCTTAATTATGCATGTATATATCCACACATATATCTGTATGCACCATTTCTTCTCCTTAAATAATGAGCAAAAGTTTGCATGGTCACACATACAGAAACTATTAACACTTATATGTTTTTAAAAACATTTATTTTATAGACAGATATCTCTACTGATAGCTAGATATAGATAGATATAGATATATATATACACCTTTTTTTTTATTTTCACATATATTTTATGTGATATGTTCATTTCATCATCTTCCTGAAAATGGGATGTTATGTTCTCTGTTTCCCTGCTTCATATTCAACATATTTGCTTGGGAACATTTCTTTTTAAAAAAACAAAAAAAAAACAACAACAACTCAGCTCATCTCTGCATTTGAGAGCTACTGGAGACATTGATCTGTACAGTAAAGGAAGTCAAGCAATAAATACCAGTCTCAGAAAGCAAACATACTGTGTAGTAGGATGGCAAACAAGGCTGATTGTTAAAATCATTTGAAGACTATGCACAAGAGTGAAAATAACTTGGCATGTGAAGACCCAGCTCAGTATTATTTCTGTCTCTCCACTCCATTTTCTACATTCCGCTTTTCTAGTTTTAGATGTCTTAGTTTCTATATTTAAATGCACAAATTTCTATTTCTCCATTTTCTTTCCCGTGCTAGAAGAACATCGCTTAGAGGCATTACATCTTACACATATGTACTCATACATATTGTATGGTCCGGACATAAAATTTAATAGTAGTATAGTGCTACTGCAGTCACAACCACAAGCATTCGTAGCATACATGAAAACAGTGTCTCAAAACCCCACGTTTGTGAATTCAGGACTGCATACTTGTGGGATTCAAGATTTTCAGAATGACCACAGGAGGGGAAAAGCACAGAAAGGTTAGAATAACTTGGACTGAGTGTGCAGACACATGATATTTAATGGGTTCTTAAGGAGATGGAGTTTCCTACTTAAATCTGTCAAAAAAACAAACAAACAACAACAACAACAACAACAACAACAACTGAAAGAGAAGGAGGTGGGCTTCTGCGTAGGGGAGAGTGGGGGAGGGGGTGTTCGGTGTCTGGGTAAACAACAATTAAGAAACTGTATGGGAAAAACAAAAAACAAAACAGGCAATCCCCTTCCACCCCTTTCCACAC